AGTAACAGGCATTTAGAAAAAACAAAAACCACAAAATTCATTACTAATGAATTATAAATAAATTATTAGGGAAATCACAAATGTAGACTACAAAAAAAAGTCTACAATAGGTAGACTTCGTGTGTAGACTTCGTCTTACCTGTCAGGTTAGTTTTGCAATTGAGGCATATTCACGTAGATTTCTTTTGCAGTCTACACAACAATTTGGGTTACTTTTATAATTGACCAAAACTTTGACTTTATAAGTGTAGACTTCGTTTTCAGTCTACAAAAACATTTAGGTTAGTTTTGCAATTGACCATAGTTTGACTTTTTATAGTAGACTTCTTTTGCAGTCTACACAAATACGCAGAAAATCGTTTTCGAAAGTAGACTTCTTTTGCAGTCTACAATCATGAATAAACTCCGTGTGTAGACTTCGTCTGACGTGTTGGGTTAGATTTGTAATTGACTAAAATTTGACTTTCGAAGTAGACTGCAAAAGAAGTCTACTCTGAAAAAAGAGGTTAGTTTTGTGTTTAACCAAATTGTCGATTTAATAAAATACTTCTGGAGTAGACTTCTTTTGCAGTCTACATAGATATTTATCTGTGGTCAAATTTTCCAGATTTTGGTCAAACACAAAACTAACCTATTTTTGCAAAGTAGATTTCAAAAGAAGTATACTATAAAAAGTCAAAGTTCAGTCAAATGCAAAACTGACCTCAATTGTTGACAAAGTAGACTTCGTATGAAGTCTGCTTAAAAAAGTTAAATTTTTGGTCAATTGCAAAACTAACGTCACTGCAAGAAGACTTCATATGAAGTCTACACATGGTTTTTTTGTTTCCAAAGGGAAACGCGTAGACTTCAATTGAAGCCTACTTTGGATATTTTCAAAAATAGTCAATTGCAAATCTAACATCTTCGTTGACTAATAGACTTCAAAAGAAGTCTACTTTCATCGCCGTTGAACCTCGTTTTTAGCTTCGTAAACCACCTGTAACTTTGAATGTCACCGGTAACAAAGAACCCAAGACGCTATTATGCAAGAAGCATCGACAACCGTTAGGTTTTTGTGTGAAAAAAATTCGAAATACAAATTTAAAGTTTTTTGGATGAAATTAGAGAGGAAATAGAAGACAATAGTTTATGAGATCAGATATTGAGCATTTAGACTTAAAAAAAACGGTTGAGAAAGCATTTAGAGCTCCAAATTGGTTGTCATGGTGGTTGGCAAAATTGAAGAAGATGACATTTTGGTAAATAAGTTGATGTCTTTTGGTTTTTGTGTCTTTTTCAATATATCCGAATTTAAAAAAAAAAATCAGAACATAATGACATTTTTGTGAATACATGTTGATTCTAAAGATAAAATTATAAGAAAATAGCAAAATATGAAAGGGAAGAAAAAATAAGTTAGATTTGCATTTGACTTCAACTTTTGAGTCATTTTTGCAACATTCCCTAAATAAAACACGTATTTAAAATTTTTTTTGTTACTTTCGAATTAAATATTTTTTTGTTACTTTCAAATTATCTTGTGCTAAAAAAACCTTTCAAAAGAATAATCATGCTTTTGTTATAAATTTGGGAAGTTGTTTTCACAAAACATATAAAAAACTCTTTTAAAAATTTGTTAAGTCTTTATTATTAATTTTGAAAAGAATATATATTCTATATAAATGTTCTAGAATTTTATTCTTACAATACTCAATTTCTAAAACTATTTTAAGAAAGAAAAGAAAATTTATATATAATTTTAGAATGAACAACGAAAATGTCATAAAATATTCATTAAGAACTCATTTGATTTATTTATGGAAACAAATATAAATTTATTTGTAGAATATTTTGTTTTTGATTCAAAATGCCATGTCACATTATTTTCAACCCATATCACAATTGTTTTGGTAAGAGTGATTGTGGAGATGACACATAAGCATTTTCTCATAAATCACTTTTCAAATAATGTATAAGGGATTTTAATATATTAGGTTTAAATATTTATTTATACTAAGTTTACATGGAAAGTCCATCTATATATATATGTGACAAAGAAAAGAAACACATTAATTTTTGAGGAAATTGCAAAAATGCCACTTTTTATGTGCACATTTGTAAAAATGCCACTTAGATGTGTTCATTTGCAAAAATGCCACTAATTAATTATAGATTTTTAAATCTTGTATCTTAAAATTTTAAGAGAAATTTTAAAAAATGCCACTTTCCAAGTACCACTTTATAAAAATGCTACACTTTTGAAATCTTTACAAAAATGCCACTTTTTCAAAATTATTTTTTCATTATATAATTTATGTTTGGGTTAACTATGTTATATTAGGGTTTAATTTTGAGTGTTTAGAGGGTTTTAGGTGTCAAAACATCT